GTTATGTGGCTGAGCTCGAATCGAGCTCATTTTATGGCTATAAAGTGTCGAAATACTCTTCTTGTACGAGATATAAAAATTTGCTTGGGTTTTTCAGCGGGCGCTCTAAAAAACGCCACAAAAAACTGAGAATTTTCTCTGAAATTCCTACTTATTTGCATATTGTCACGGTAACGAAACACTGACTGAAAGTGAGCGAAAAGTGGTTTCAACTGTTGCGTCAGAAAATCCGCTTCTAATAGCAAAATATTGATTTAAGGTTTTTAATTCTGTTAATCCGATGTTGCGATAGATGTGGTGATAAATTATTATACTTATATAAAACTAGTAGTAATAAAAGATTAGAGCAATGCGTTCACGCGCGTACTTTGCATGTTTGGTCTACCTTGGTGGCGATCGAAATTAAGTTTTATCGAATGACAGATAATGATATGCACGTGAAGTTGAAGCCTGCGGTAAAAGTTTTTTTAACTAATTAAGTATTAACTTTTACTGGACAAAATAGCTTCCAGGAAAGGCATTTGAACTGTTGGCGACACTTAGAAATCAGTTTCAGATCGCAACCACTTGTAACAAATATTTCTTTATTGGATACACGCTAATAAAGAGAGCCGAAATGAAAAAAGACATAATAAGTTGGATATACATATTACGGTCAGTCAGGTTTGATGTCCTTTCTCAAAAGGTCTTTTTACAATGACTTAACTTGGATTAAAGGAGAAAAAAAGACGATTGTGCGAAAAAATCTAAGTGGACTCCAACATAGATATAACAAAAAGAGTTCCCCTGCGGGGGCTGAACGCCATGCCTTTCCGAACCGAAAGTTCGGAAATGTAGCCACTGGGTTACAGTGGGACTCCTTGAATTGGTTACCAAATGTAACGGTACCTATATGCACAAGAAATATAGTTTTTATTGACAGCCTCATCTTGCTTTTTAAAATATGATATAAAGAAAATGAAAGACCCTGCCTAAGTTATAGAGTCTTTTTTTTGAATCCCTTATTGAATCTTTTGCAAGCAAAAAAAAAATTAACATTTCCTTCAAGATTCGCTCTTTTGCAGTTCTTCGCTTATTGGATACAAGCTAATAAAGAGAGCTTAAATCAAAAAGACATAATAAGTTGGATATATTCCACGGTGAGTCAGGTTTCTTGTCCTTCCTTAAGAGGTCTTTTCAGCAATAACTTGGCTGAAACAAACAAACAAAAAAAGAAGATTGTAGGAAAAAGAAATGGAGTCCAACATCCAATATAAAAAAAAAAAAAAAACGGAGTCTCCCTGCGGAGACTGAACGCCATGCCCTTACGAACCGAACGTCGGAAATGTAACCACTGGGCTACAAGGGGATTCCTTGACTTAAGTAGCAAATTTGACGGCACCTATTTGAACATGAAATGTAGTTTATTGACAGCCTCATCTTGCTTTGGAAAATTTGCAATGAAGAAAATGAAAGACCTTACCTAAGTTCTCGAGTCTTTTATAAAACCCTTATTAAATCTTTCGCAAGGGAAAAACAACTTCCGGTAAGATTCCTTCTTTTGCAGTTCTTCGCTTACTGGATACAAGCTAATAAAAAGAGTTTAAAAAAAGAAGATATAATAAGTTCAATATATTTTAGGGCGAGTCAGGTTTCTTGTCCTTCCTTAAAACGTCTTTTCGTCAAAAACTTGTTCAAACCAAAACAAACTAAAAAAGATTATAGGGACAAATATGAATAAAACGAACAAAGTCCCTCTGCGGGGGCTGAGCACCATGCCCTTCCGAACCGAAGCTCGGAAATGTAACCACTGGGCTACAGGAAGAATCCATGACGTGGTTGGCAAATTTAACGGTACCTATATGCACATGCAATGTACTTGTATTGACAGCCTAATCTATCTTTGGAAAATGTGCTATAAAAGAAATGACAGACCTAATGGCCGACTAACCTCTATATAACTTGCAGCCTCTCTAACCATTGTCTTTCTTCTAACAATAGTAGCTGGCCTTTATTTAACAATTCAGGCCATAAAAGTTGCCCGAGGAAAGCTTCAATAGCTTATAAGGTTTATTTCTGGNCAGAAAACTGTACGAAAATGAGCACTGTTTAGTCCTACTGAATTACGAAAAGAAACAAAAGGGTCCCCCTGCAGGCGCTGAACGCGGGCCCTTCCGAACAGAAGCTCGGAAATGTAACCACTGGGCTACAAGGGGAATCCATGACGTTTTTTTTTTGCAAGCAAAAAAAAAAAAAAACAATTTCCTTCAATATTCGTGCGTTTGTAGTTCTTCGCCTATTGGATACAAGCTTATAAAGAGAGTTTAAATCAAAAAAGACACAATAAGTTGGATATATTTTAGGGTTAGTTAGGTTTCTTGTCCTTCCTTAAGAGATTGTAGAGAAAAAATATAGTGCAACAGGAATGTGCAAACAAAAAAAGGAGTACCTCTGCGGGGGCTAAACGTTATGCCCTTCCGAACCGAAGCTCGGAAATGTAACCACTGGGCTACAGGGGAACTTTAAATTTAACGGTACCCATATGCACATGAAATGTGGTTTTTATTGACCGCGTCATCTTGCTTTAGAAAATATGCAATGAAAAAAATGAAAGACCTTGCCTAAGTTATAGAGTCTTTTTTAAATCCCTTAATAAATTTTTCCTAAGCAAAAAAAAATTAATATTTCCCCGAGGATTTGTTCTTTTGCAGTTCTTCGCCTATTTGATACAAGCTGATAAAGAGGGCTTAAATTAAAAAAAGACATAATAAGTTGGGTATATTTTAGGGTGAGTCAGGTTTCTTGTCCTTCCTTAAAAGGTCTTTTTATCAGTAATTTGGTTGAAATAAAAAAAAGAAGATTGAAGGGGAAAAAAAATGGAATGCAACACAAATATGGAAAAAAAGGAGTACCACTGCGGGGACTGAACCGCATGCCCTACCGAACCGAAGGTCGGAAATGTAACCACTGGGCTACAGTGGGACTCCTTGAATTGGGTAGCAAATTTAACGGTACCTATATGCACAAAAAATATAGTTTTTATTGACAGCATCATCTTGCTTTGGAAAATATGCAATGAAGAGAATGAAAGACCTTGCTTAAGTTATAGAGTCTTTTGCAAAAAAAAAAAAAAAAAATAGTATTTCCTTCGAGATCCATTCTTTTGCAGTTCTTCGCCCTTTGGATACAAGCTAATCAAAAGAGCTTAATTAAAAAAAAAATTATATGTTGAATATATTTTGTGGTGAGCCAGGTTTCTTGTCCTTCCTTAAAAGGTCTTTTTATTCCTATGTTAGTTGAACCCAAAACAAAAAACAAAGAAGATTGTAGGGGAAAAAATGAAGTCCAACACAAATATGAAAAAACAGATTCCCCATGCGGGGACTGAACGCCATGCCTTTCCGAACCGAAGCTCGGAAATGTAACCACTGGGCTACAGGGGGACTCCTTGAATGGGGTGCATATTTAACGGTGCCTCTATGCACAAGAAATGTAGTTTTCATGACAGCCTCATCTTGCTTTGGAAAATATGCAATTAAAATAATGAAAGACCTTGCCTAAGTTATAGCGTCTTTTTAAATCCCTTATTAAATCTTTCTTAGGCAAGTAAAAAAGAATAACATTTCCTTGAAGATCCGTTCTTTTGCAGTTCTTCGCCTATTGGATACAAGCTAATAAAGAGAACTTAAATAAAAAAAAAGATATAAAAAGTTCGGTATATTTTACGGTCCGCCAGGTTTCTTGTCCTTCCTTTAAAGGTCTTTTCATCCCAAACTTGGTTGAAACAAAAAGAAAGAAGATTGTACGAAAAAAAAATGGAGTCCAACCAAAATATGAAAAAAAGAGAATCCGCTTGTGGAGGCTGAAAGCCATGCCCTTTCAAATCGAAGCTAGGAAATGTAACTACTGGGCTACAGGGGGACTCCTTGAATTGGGAAGCAAATTTAACAGTACTCATATGCACAAGAAATGTAGTTTCTATTGACAGCTTTATCTTGCTTTGGAAAATTTCAATTAAAAAAAAAAAAGAAAGATCTTGCGTAAATTGTAGAGTCTTTTTGAAATCTCTTATTAAACTTTTCCAAGAGAAGGAAATATAACATTTCCATCAAGATCCGTTCTTTTGCAGGTCTTCGCCTACTGGATATAATACAAGCTAATGAAAAGAGCTTAAATCTAAAAAGACATAATAATTTGGATATATCTAAGGTGAGCCAGATTTGTTGTCCTTTCTTAAAAGGTCTTTTCATCAATAACTTGGTTTAAACAAAAAAAAAAAAGAAGATTTTTCGGAAAAGTAAAATGGAGTCCACCACAAATATGAAATAAAAAAGAGTCGCCCCACGGGGGCTGAACGCCATGCCCTTCCTAACGAAGCTTAGATATGTAATCACTGGGCTACAGGGTGACTCCTTGAATTGGGTAGCAAAATTAACCGTACCTATATGAACATGAAATGTAGTTTTTATTGACAGCCTTATCTTGATCTGGAAAATGTACTACGAAAAAGATGAAAGAAGTTTCATAAGTTATCGCACATTTTCCGATTCGAGGAGTCTCCCTTTAGCCTAGTGGTTACATTTCCGAGCTTCGGTTTGGAAGCGCATGGCGTTTAATCCCCCACAAGGGGACCCCGTTTTTTGATATTTTTGCTGGACTCTATTTATCTCTTTTCGCCGAGTCTTCTTTTTTTCCCCTTTATAACTAACTTAGGAGTGAAAAGACCTTTTAAGAAAGGACATCAAACCTGGCTGACCGTAAAATATATATCCATCTTGCCAGGTCTTTTTTCAGTTTAAACTCTCTTTATCAGCCTGTAGACAATGACTTGCAAAGGTACAGATCTTAATTGGGAGGTCATTTTTTTTGGGTGGGAAAGAACGGATCTTAAAGGAAATGTTCTTTTTTTTTCCTGGGAAAGATTTAATAAGGGATTTAAAAAAGACTCTATAACTTAAGCAAGGTTTTTCATTTTTTTTTTTTTTTTTCGGTTCGGAAAGGCATCGTGTTAAGCACCCGCACTCCGATGTTATGATTCTGTTGGACTCCATTTATCTTTTCCCTACAATGTTCTTTTTTTTCCGTTTGAATCAAGTTAGGGGTTAAAAAAACTGTTAACAAAGGACATAAAACCTTATCGCATAACAAATCCCTCTTGTTATGTCTTTTTTCATTTAAGCTCTCCTTATCAGCTTGTATCCAATAGGCAAAGACCTGCAAAAGTCCGGATTTTAAATGGAAAAAGGCTTCCGCTAGATGGGTATTTTTGCGGTCAGTCAGGTTAATGTTTGATGTTCTTTCTTAAAAGGTCTTTTTACCCCTAACTCGGTTCAAAAGGGAAAAAAAAAACGATTGCACGAAAAAACATACGTGGAGGATATAGTTAAAAAACGGAGCCTCCCTGCGAGCAGCCCGGTTACTTTTGCGAAAACGAGCAGTGACCGAATTTGTTTTGTGAGCAGCGAGCACTTTAGAAAATACTGCAAGTAATCTGAAGTTCCAAAACAGGAAAATAGGCGCAAAGGTAGACAAAATCTTAAGATCTTATCGCGGATCAGCCAGTCCCATCAGCTTACAGCCAATTATGCCTTGTTTGATGTAGAACTACGTGAGTAAGTGGGTGGGCGCTCAATCGATCAAGGAGATGTAAATCTTTCTAACCACACCACGAGAAGAAGCTAAAAGCTACCAGACTCCAGAATCCAAACATGCAAGCAGTTGCAAACATTTTGCGAGCATGAGCAAGCGAGCACTCATTTAATTTTTGCCAGCAATTCGACCAAAGGCAAAAATAATAATTATGTCCTGATTATTCTCCTACTAGACCCGTACCCATTTCCCGAATGTGAAAAGAATGCTATATCCAGAGTTGCTATTCTAGTGAACTGTTCACGCGCTGTCATTACAATGCGTGACGTTCCTGGCATGGAAAAAGAGACGTGAAATCAACAACTGGATTCCCGCTGGGAACCCATCGGGGAAGGCATCGGGAAACGCACGCTTCAACGCGCAAGGATACGCAAAGGGTACGCAAGGCGTGACGGGCGACATAATAGGGCAGTCTCCGGAAACCCTCGGGGTGACACACGGGTTGAGCGTAACGTAAAGGATGGAGGAACGCATGCGAAAGTGACTGGGAAAAGCAAGAGAAATGCACAGGGAACCTATTGTGTAACGACAAGAAGACGCATGAGGAACCGTGCTGAGGTGCGTATAGCATGACGGACGCGAGGAGCGTATGATAGAACATACAAGGAAATGCACAAGGCCACGCTTAGCCAAGGTAGTCACTACTATGTAATATTCTACTCTTCCCTGGTGAGTTTGAACAGCTACTCAGTTAAAGTCAACTACAGAAATAACTTCGTTTAACGGGAATAATTTTAATCGTAAAGTTAGTCTTAATACAATTTAATAGGCGATTACATCATACAGTATTATTGATAAGTAAGTAATAACTCAGATGTCACTAATAAAAAAATGAAACTTTGAATAAAATCGCTTTTTCTGGCTGAAAATGCTCTATGATCTGAGCTTATTATTAGAAGCTGAACAAAGCAACTTAGTAAATGAGATACAACAATTTGCAAGCTATAAATTCATTCACCTCAAGCTATTTCCCCGGTGATTTTCTTAAAATTACCCTTAATTTCCTATATATCTTACTAGAGCCTCAATAGGGTAAAGTTAAGTAGCTGCATTGATTTTCATAAAAACTATCGGGATTGGCATTTTTTATGTGTATACGAAGGAACAATTGAATTTTTCCGAGACTCATTCAGTCCAGGTTGACTTTGCAGTCAGGTTGTTCCTACCACCAATATTTGACGACAAAAATTGGCCATGGCTCAAGTGGTGGTGCACCTCCCTTTATGGTTATTACGCCTCTAGGAGGATTTTAAGCCCAAAAAACTGTCACTTACTTGGTCAGTCCGGCTGTATCTAAGATTTGTCATAATTCGTTATCTCACGAATAGTTATGTTATCAAGGGATAGTGAAGTTTCTAGTTGTAAGATAAAGACATTCAAACACCTAGCGCCTTCTTCGCTGCATAATTCTGAAATGGAACAAAAAAAAAATTGCAAAAACAGAACAAAACATGAGTAGACCATGTTAATGAAAAAATTCGACAAAAGAGTGTTATTATCTACAGGATACAAAAAACAGGATGCAAAACAAACTTCACTCCCCAAACCGGAAATTTTTTTCATAGATTTATACAATAAAACATAGAATAGAATAAAACTTTGTACTAAGGTTGGACTCTAGGACCTCTAAGTAGTGTAAAAGCAACTGAGAGACTAATTTAAGTCCTCAGTACCATTAAACTCCTCAAAAACCTTTAATTGGACTTTTAGATTTTCCCCCAACGTCTAAGTTGATTGAAAAAGGAAATAATGCTCGCAAACGTTTTAAAAACAGTTTTAAAAACACCCATAAACGAAACAAAGAGGACGACCTAAAGATGGCAAAGCGTTCAGTCTTAGCATTTTAGAAGAGCATTAAGCAGAACTCGGCTCTGATGATATGATTTTTATTACGCCATCAGTCAAGACTCACTGTACTTACCGGAACACTGTATATGAATAAGAAGATGATCAAGATCAGCAAGAAGATGATCAACCACTTTATAATGGTCCGCTTGCAGTTCTTCCAGATGATCCAACGCAAAGTCTTGAGTGGAGACAGGTACCACAGAAACGAATGAGCTGGACGGCTGTGGTAGTGAACAAGAGAAAAAATAAGCTAAGGCAAATATATGCATGTATGCTTGAGGGACACTGATAATTAGAGGATTGTCCAGGAATCTCAGGACTTTCCCAGTCTTCTACTCAAACACCGACCACGACTAAAATAACACTGGTGTAGTCGTATTATCA